ACGCCTTTGTATTTTATAATAATTATATTTTTATCAAATCACTCCATCGTTGAGATTGAAAATCGAGAAAAATTGTGAAAATTGTGAAAAAAGTTCATCGATTCTAATGATTCACACCAAATATAGCTATAACTTTATATAATACACACAAACATCTATAATAAAGTTATATAGAAAACTGTATAATATGTTCAATAACTTAAAAGAACTGTTAACTCGTTTTCCTTAAACAACAAAAATAGTAAAAATATGAGTGAAAAAAGAGGACAACCTTTTCTACTGCCAGTCCCTCTTTACGAAGTGAACACATTTTAGGATACATTTATGTAATAACAGAGTTGAGTCCCATTTCTATTTGGCGATCCCTTTCCTTCTGTCAATTATTTGATAGCTTAGCCATTGTTATGGTTTTCACTACAAGAAGGTCAGTACCAAACACTCCATTCTCTCATTATATAAATACTATTATATTCTGCACTTCTTATTTGTTTTTCAAACAATTTATAACATTTTTATTGTAAGCTTTTTCCCAATGAATTTCTTCTTAAGAAACCCTTTTGTAAAATTATGTTCACATCAAGTGTTTAACTCCTAACCAATATGTGAATTATAAATTAATAATAAGTTTTCATTATTGTCTACTCTATATTAAATCAATTTTATATACATGTTTTTAAGTATTAATTGTTTTTTAACTATTTAAACTTAAAAGTTTTGACATTTACGGTAATGAAAACTAACAAATGATCATTTAAATGAAGATTACCAATAATAATAATGTTATAAGAACTTCTTGATTAGTTTTTTTAATTAACGAGTAAATGAGTTTATATTTAATGAGAATGTTATGCATTAAATATGAAAACATCACAAATATTTTGTGATTTGTGTAAACATTATTTCATTTCAATCGCTTTAATACTGATTTTATTTATGCATAACTGCTATTCACTCAATAGAACTAAAAGTAAGTACTTTTTTGTTAAACATTTTGACAATTATATCGTTTTGAGAAAAATATTTCCTAAAAAAGTTATTCTTCTTTTCGCAAAAACTCATAATTATTGATAATTTCTAATTATATTTACATAACAATGAATTGTCAAGTATTTCATGCGTATAGTGTGTAATTGATTGTCAAAACATTTTTTAGTTAACTTTTGCGAGTTATATAAATAGTATTATCGACTTCTTATGGGCTTATAAGGGGATCGCCGCGAAAATAATAGTCAGAAAATGAGTATTTTTTCGTTTCATAGGAACTATAGGTATATTCAAAAGGCCCGATAAGTTGGAAGCGGTCACCAGTTATCTGTCACCACAGCCTGACTCGAGACTGAGAACCCGTTTCTATCTCTATACCCGACATAATGCCCGACACTCACAGGAGCTCACTATCGACAACGAGGAGCTCCTATTCCAGTCGTGGTTTAATCCGCGACTTCCCATCAAAATCGTGATCAACGGATGGCTCGACAACAGATACTTCGCCAAATGGGTCCGGAGTGGGATCAACGCACTGCTACTTCACGGCGATTACAACGTTATATACGTGGGCTGGAAGAGCATCAAAGAGCTCTTTGTGGCCGCGATTATGATCAAACTGTTCAGTGAAGATTTGACACATTTTATCATCTTTCTCAAGGTATGCCGCAATGTCTGCTCAATAGCCTAATCCTTAAGTAAATCCTTAAGTAAATGAGTTTAAGTGAGTATTAAAATGTATTTTCTTTTTATCCACTCAACTACTGGTAATAATTTAAATTAAATATGAAATTTAAATTAAAACTATAAATATTTCATTAGATTTTTTCATTTTCAATTTTTAATGCTAATCAGTGTATGTTTTAAATGTTTTTTATTTCAATATAATTATCAATTCCACTCCAAAACTCAACTCAATAACTCGTTTTGATTATTAATATTTTCCTTCAAAACCTTTTCATAACTCAAACCTCTCAGCTCGACCGATGACTACCGGTGCTGTAAGCGATTCAAACCGTTAGCATTTGTCGAGATGTGGGGTTTGGGCTAATTTACATCAAATTTGCACATTAATTAAATTTATAGCTCGTATAAAAAATGCACACAAAACTAATTAAAAACTAATTACGGATAGAATACGTACGGAATAAATGGTGAGAGTATTCACTGTATCGGCCATTCGTTGGGCTCTTTCTTGTGTGGATTCGCCGGTAGTCTCACTTTTATAGGAAGGCTAAGTGGTATGATATGTCACTTATATCTCATAGATATTGTCTTATTGTCCACTCAAATGCCTGAATAACCGATTGAAACCCTCTGTGTGCAAGTGCTGGACGCCGGTCCCCGACCCTGGTTTGAGTCGATGCCAGAGTCCGAGCGCATCAATCGATGGCAGGCGGGCTTCGTTGACGTCATCCACAGTGACTTCCATCCGACCCTCTCGTGGGGACTCACTATACCTGTAGGCGACGTCGACTTCTACCCCAACTCAGCGCCACAACCGGGTTGTATGCGCGACAAATTGGTGCAGGGTATACGGGAGCTTCGGGATGAGGGCCTCGTTGTAGGCATTTACCAATGGGCCCGATATATGCTGTTCTGTTCCCACTATCGATCGCATGAGTGGTTCTTTGAGTCGGTTTGGAACAAGAAGTGCACATTTATTGGGGTCCGGTGCCCATCCCATCACATGTTTATGAACGGTCAATGTGGTTGCGATACCGGCGCCCACTCGTGCGCTATTATGGGCATCGATGCGGACACGGCCCTCACCAGAGATGCTCTCAAATCCTCAAAACCTGGCAAATGGTTTATTAAGACATCGGACTTTGTCAAAGAGACGGGAACTCATTGTCGTGAGTGTCGGCGCTGTTTCTAAATTTATTCAATTCATAAACTTATTTAAAATTCTTGAAAAATAATAGCTTTTCATAGGGTTTGCAAATAAAAACCAAAAGCGACTCATAAATCCAGTTTTATTTAGTGGTAAAACGCCTTGAATTTCTCAAATATAACTTTTCCATTAATATAGACGTCAATCAAAAATGTTAGTCAAACAGAGCGTTGAGAATAGGTTTTGTGTTTTAAAGAAATGAAATCATATTTCATAATTGAATGACAACATTGTGTACATTTAGCTAAAATGTTTTTAATGTCTTAATTGAATCAACATTTTTAATTTAACAGAAATACTCTTAAAATAGGTAAATAATACGGCTATTAGTCGGCAGTTTCTGTGCGCCCGTCCTATACCTATATATCGCAAATATGGGTCACTATTTCATTGATTACTTAACGTATCTATAATTGAATACATGCTGACAATGAATCGCCGAAAATATCAATACATTATTAGCTCATAATTGCCATTGTCTTTAGCCTACGATCGATTAACCTCTTTATCCAAACGCTTAACTCATTAATAAGAAACCAACAAAAATATTGCTATTATTTATAAAAAGCAATCGATTTATAAAAACAATGCTTTCCATTAGATTCCATGAATTGAATGCATAATTGAAAGTAATATTCATTTTTATCTTCTTTCCAATCCCTTTCCAATCCCTTTCCAATCCCTTCCCACTGCTATAGTATTTCAATACCAAATTGTCATACAATTGGCACAACTGTTCCCAATAAGCAACGGAACAATCATTTTATCCATTCATAGCGATAGTGGTGTCACTCAAGAGCTAATTAAAGCGCCAAACAATCAATTATATCCCGGATTAAGGTTTGGGAAACTGGCGGTCAGACAGACTGAGATCAAGAACATAAGGAGTGTATCGATTAGTTGGGCGCTAATAGACTCCGATGAGCCCTACAAAGAGCTGCTAAGTTGGATCAGTTTAGAGTACTTAAAAGTATCTCCAATTATCATTAGGTATGACCCAATACTGTCGGCCCCACTATATTGTAGTCTACATTCAAATATCAAACCCATGAAGACAATAAACCTTAGAGTGTGTTAACAATGTCTAACTCCAGCCTAGATTTTAGCCAAAAATTACTAATTTCTAATGTTTATAATTATTAAAATATTGAATTTAACAACTTTTGTTCATTAAATAATCAAATATTTATTAAAAGTATAATAAATTGAAAAAATGGTAACAACTATTAATTTTGAAATCCAAATAAAACTCATAAGTCTTTTGGCACTTACTATTAAATGAATAATCAATAAAATTGTGTTAAATGAAAAAGTTTATGTGAAATATACGAAACTCAAATCTTGAATACTGTCCACACATTTGTTGTTAATATATTTGACAAATCGAGCCGTTTTTGTGTCTCTGAACACGATATTCAGATTATTACTGAACGGATCGATAGTCAACAGCTCCTCGTCCTCTCCCCTCGCGATGTATGAAATAAAGCCTCCGTTTTCGCGATCAAACTCATTGTCGCAATTGAAATGTATGACCACATCGAGGGCTGCCTTTTCGCTCAATTCGGCGGAGTTGTCGTGTATTAAAGTATAGCACGAATGAGACCAACGCCTGATCTCTCCTCTGCATCGGGGGTTACCTTCAGACGAGTCTAAAGAATACATTGTTTTTGTTAAGAAAAATAGTATCAAACAATAGCTCTTATAAAGCTTACCGTCGCTGTCGTCTTCGTCATCATCTGAGCCATTATTAACGGCTAACTCATGAAGTTTAAGACCCGTTAGATTAGACAGAATCAGAAACATGGCATCGGATCTGAAGAGTTCGTAGGCCTCGAGAACAATGGCCGGACAGCTCGAGACCACTGCTGTCTCGTATCGCCTCATATTCGGGGGTTTATTATATTTCCAGACAATGGCTTCGCTGTCACTCAAAGCTCGCGCCAACTCTTGGTATTTGTCGCCATTGAAGAAGTCCTGTAATACTATTTCAGACAAGTCTTCAAACCGCGACTGAATCTCACATTGAGTCGAGTCTTGTAAATATATGGGATTAATCCACGACTTAACCACTTCAAGGGGTACTTCTGTGGCGGCGTCTGTACTGATTTGGGGCTCAACGTAACGATTGGGTCGCTCCAGAGGCACGCCGTGGAACCATCCGTGGACACTGAGTCTAGTCTTGGAGTCGGACACCACTTCCGACACCTGATGCCATGTGATTGGATTCACTTCGAAGAATGCAAAGCGATTCCATTTGGGCGCCACCGATGCCACTATCTCCGAGGGCTCACCATTTTCTGCACAATATATTCGTAAGCGAGTGATCAACACATCCACCTCTTGTGGTGAGACAGTGATTAGGCTTACCGTTGGAGTCATACAAATCAAGTAATCCGCCGTCACTTGTCTTCCAGTCGGGCACCAAATACAGGATAAAAGCGACTCTTCGGCCGTCCATCTGATCCTCTGACATGACATCGTCGTCGTGACACAAAAGATAGTCTGACCGCAGATGACCGTCAATAAGAAAATCAATACTAAGACTAAATACAAACCGTTTTGTTCATATCGACTGACAGTGAGAGCGATGTTATCATTGAGCGATAGATTAGTTAGTCTTTCGACGAATGGCTTCACCTGTTTGGCCATCAGTTCACACAACTGTCCAATGGTTCCGCTCTTAATGTTATTCAAGTCCACCGATTGTCTCAATCGATACAAATCATTATTCTTGACATTTAGGTCCAATTGGTTGATGTCTTGTTTGAGTCTTTTGAGGAACTCATGACTATCGATGAACTCATCAAAAGAGATCACTTTAAAAGGCTTATCAATCACTCGGATGTCTTCGGTATTCAACTCATCGCCCGTCGGCTTAACACCAGAGGAATACCAATCGGCCAATTGATCCAAACTCTTGCGGTAACCGCTGTTTATGCTGACATCGATGTCATTGGCGCCTATTTTCTGTCGCTTGTGGTCACCACTGACACAACCGTTGGACGGATGCGTTGTCTTTGGCTTGTCGTCACTCATTTGGTCACCAAAAGTGTCCAAAACTAGCACTAAATTGAAGTAAAAGTTTGAAAATTTCTATTTGTTTCACAAAATGTAAACAAATTGTGTAATCATTACAACACGTGCTCTCCCTATACGAGGGATTGTATACTAAATATCGGCCATCAAATTAGGCTCAAAATCTTAATTCAATCAAACGTTTAATAAATTTTATTTCCATTTATAATAAAGTTATCAAAAATTATTGGATTATAATACTAAACAAAATAATAATTTCAAGTTTAAGTGAAGGACATGATTGTCGTAATAATTGATAACAATATGATATGTTATTTAGAAATCAAATGAAGTCATAATTAAATTCAAGTTTTAATGATAAGATTGTGAGCGAAAAAAGTGTCCAAAAATGTGTGAAAACTATTAATAGTATGTCTTTCGGGCGGAGATCTTGTTCTTCAAGTCGAGCGCCGATTGGAGCCTTTCGTCCGCCATTTCCAGACGTCTCTGCTCTTTGAGTTGTTTCAGTTCCCGTCTCTTCCTCTCCTGTTCCTCCAGTTTCGCCAAATACTCGTTATCGACGCCAACCTCCGCCTCAGCCAACGCGTCCACAAACACATCACCACCGGATGTGTTGGCGTTATGTTTCACACTGACAGCCATCTCGTGGAACAGATGACTCGAATCTAATGACTTACTTCTTGGAATCAAATCGATTTCCTCTATTTCCTGATCACTGATGTCTTTGGGGACCAAACATCTGATTTGAGACTTTGTTGAGGTCTTTGTGGTATTGAGGGGACGGTTGTTGTTGTTGTTGATGATAGTTATCTGAATGTCATCTTTGGGTGCATTAGCTTTGGATGCGTTCAGAGGAACAAAGTTGGGACCCGTTGTGAGTGACGGCCGAAGCACTTGCAGCCTATTGGCCAACGAAGTGGTCTGAGTTTGGGCTAAGAGTGCGTTCACTAAGAGCTGATTCGGATCCAGAATTCCTAAATCCATTTGCTGTCCACAAAGACAAAGAGGTTTATAGCATAACATAGACTCAAAAGACAATGCAATCAATTGAATACCCAATTCATGAGTGGATTCATGTTTGACACCATTTGAGACAAATTCATGATCTGATTCTGAAGGACAGCGCTTTGATTGATGGCATGTCTTCGAGCGGTCGTCGAAGACATAAATTGTCGTAAATCTGAGTTTTGATTGAAACGATTCAGACGTGAAGACAGGTTTGCATTCATTTGTGGTAATTGTCTGTCGCTTTGAAACCCAAAGTTACGTCTGTTTTGGCGGTTCCTTCGCTTCCGAAGGTTCTTATTCTTGAGCCGTTGTCCCAAATCGACCGCAATCTCATCCAAAGAGTCGGGCAGTTGGCGCTCAACTGATCCCTTATTTGCCACCAAATTAATGGTCGTCCTCTCCGTCCGGAACTTATCTCTTGAGCTCTCGTTCACGTCATTCACATCCGAGTCCTCCTGAGAGTCGTTGAGGTCGAAGACAATGGGTTTGCGAGCCATTGGGTCACTCGTGTCCATCGACTTCTTCGTGAGCGACGACTTCACGTCCAGCAGAAGACTCTCCTCCTCTTGAGTCATATCGATGTCATCGCCGGTCGACAGCATATCCATCACATCCTCACTGCCATTGCATTTGTGTCACCATTAATGCAATCATCAAACATGTGGTCAAATGGTATACCTGTTGGTCGCCGCTTCAGACATGAGTGGATCTAATGAAGTGATCGATGAGTGAAATGTGCGATCATTTGTGAGACAATCGCATCGATTGGACGACACTTTCAACACATGACTTAATGCGCAGTAATTACGCACTGAATGCGAGTCAAGGGCTCAACACTCACTCAATGCTGAGTGAATGCAAACTGAATACCAGTTTATATCTGAGGGACAAAACATTTGCACATTATTTATACAACTCATACGAAACACATGTTAAATATTTGCGCAAAATTTGAATCATTTTATTGAATATATTTGTATAGGAATTCATGAAAGGCTTATTGAATATCACAATTGATTTTAAATATTAAAACCAATGAATTATATATAAAAATAAGTGTTTAAAAAACATTTAAATAATAAAATACAAGTAAAACACGTAAAAAGTAAGCATTAATTGTCAATACATTTGAGACTAAGTCTACAGATATTTATTCAAGTCGTCGAGACTGTCGAGGTAATAGTCGGGCACACATTTGTGATCCTCCGGGTCCTGAGAGTTCTTGAAGTTAATCATATCATCGTAGGTCCCGATCCCCGACTGAACGAACAGAGTCTTGAGGCCATTATTCCTGCCGAAGACCATATCAGTCGTGAGCCGATCACCGATCATGATCTGAAATCACCAAGAGCATATATTAGAATCAGTCTAATATTTAGAGGGGTTATCCAATCAATAGAAATATCCTTACCGTGCGTTTTGGGTCGATCTCCGGGTGTTGTAAACGGATTATGTCGAAGAAGTACTGATAGGGTTTGCCGAGAGGGATGGGGTCTCGACCGGTCACCGCCTGAATGGCCGCCACGTAGGCGCCCGGTCCGGGAACGGCTACTTTGGGGTCGGGGTGCGGGTATGTCTCGTCGGCGTTGCTCGCGATGAACAGACACTCGTTGTCTCTGACATAAGAACAGGCTTTCGTGAGTTTGGGGAACGAGATCTGGTTGTCAAAGCCGATGACCACTGCCCCCACATCCGGGTCCAGATCCACTTCAGCCATTCCTGGTGTCCAGTGTCGTGGCGTGGGGTCGGCGCCCACACCCGTCGACTCGATTCCCACGTCAGCCAACTCGCCGGCGATACCCGACTGACCGACGATAAAGACTTTGCGGTCGAAGCCAATGGACTTGAGATAAACTGCCGTCGAGTAGGACGTGGGGAACAGTTCGTCCAAATCGGCCTCAAATCCCAATTTAGTGAGCTTTTGGTGAAATTCATCCCTCGTTTTGGTGCTGTTATTAGTGGCAAAACAAACCCGTTTTCCTCGGGCTCTCAGTTTGTTGATGGCCTGAGCGGCCCCTCTGACGGCCCCGTTGTTGACCCACAGGACGCCGTCACAGTCGGACAAAATGAAGTCGAATTTGTTGAGGAACTCGTGGACCCGTTCCCTACTGTCCAGATTGATGGGAGTGACCGCCGATGACTTCTT